CAAATAAACAGAATTAGCTTTTTGGGATTTCCTTCCCTGGGATGATTCAGCATGCATCAAGACTAACAATGGTTGCTTTTCTTTTTTGGTCATCATTTCCTTTATTGCACTATCTTCATAACTGTATGTGTACAGTACCCGTGGAACCACACACCTTTCTTTTGACAAGGATGTACGAAATAGAGATTTGATCTATTCTGGGAATGTAGAGGCACTACAATGATTTTATAATTATGGTAAATGGACTGATTCTTAGATAGCGCTTTTCTACTCTTCTGAGCACTCAAAGCACTTTACACAACTTGTGCATTCACCCAAGCACATTTTCTTAGTGCTTTCTAACTAACATTCACACACACATTCATACTCCGATGGATGCATTGGAGAGCAATTTGGGGTTAGTATCTTACCCAAGGATATTTGGCATGCAGACTAGGGGAAGCCAGGAATCGAATCACCGATCAATAGATGACCTGCTCTGCCACCTGAGCTATAGCCACCCACAATTAAATGACGCCTCACAGCAAGAAAGTCGTATGTTCATATCCACTTGATGGCTGAGGTCTTTCTATGTGGAGTTTTCATGCTTTCTCTGTGCCTGTGCAGGTTCAGGACAGACAAAAGACCAGCTTTTCCATCATTTCCAGTCTTTGTGTTAAGTTAAGCTACTCAGGTGTTGATGGTAGCTTAATATTTACAATACAGACATGAACTTGGTATGGATCACTTCACCTAACAGCCAAGATGGGGAAAAAAACCCCAAAACAAAAAAAGGGTGTCCTTTTACTCATATTGTTTCATGCTTTGAATGTCCATGCAGAAAATCCTTTTATCCCTGTCCTACATGTTGAGACAATGTCCCACATTGTGATTCACTTTAACTGAACAATTGTGAACACCTGACTCTCTCTAGAAGCATGTGGTCGAAAACGAGATGTGCTGATTGATAGTGTGGAAGATGATTACCAGAGTTTGATCTGTCAAAGCTCTACATGAAGGGATCAGTGCTAACAGTGGTTAGCACTGTTGCTATCACTGCTGCCTCACAGGAATGAGGTCCTCGGTTCAAATCTGCCATGTGGAAGGGGCCTCTCTGTGTGGAGTTTACAAGTTCTCCCCCTAGCAGCATGGGTTCACTCCAGCCTCCTCCCACAGTCCAAAAACATTCAGTTAGTGGGGCTAAGTTAATTGCTGATTCTAAAACATCTGTCTGTGTGTTAAGCCTGTGGCAGACTGGGCTCCAGGACAGCTGGGATAGGCTTCAGGTCCCTGTGACCCTGAACTGTATAAGTGGAAGATAATGGATGGATGGAATATAGGAGTGTACAAAGACTTGAGACTATACATACTTTAGCTCATATGTGCTTATTGCAATCAGATAAATTACAGCATATTCGTTTTCCCTATACTTAAACTCTAACCTGTATAACTTTTGTGAGATTTTAGCCAAACATTTATCAAAATTTCAGACTACACACACCACTCCATTATGGCACAACCACACTCTTTGACCCTCATCTTGTTTATTGGGCTCTGGCCTCCCTGCTCACATATGGGCTGTGTTTGCCATTACAGTTGCAGCTCATTTCATGAATGCACTCCCAGGCAGTGCACACAACAAAGGAGGCCAGCTCTTCCTCATAAGCCAAAAGATGTGTAGTGTGTAATGCAGAGTATCATTCATCATCGTCTACACGCTTCCCTGCCCCCCTCTCTCTCACACACACAAACACACACACACGCACACACACACACAAACATGGCGGCCTCTGTTTCACCGCTACGCTCCTCCTTCAGGATTTGTAGCCCTTTAACGTTACACCATCACTGCTGCCGGGCCAAACTGCGGATGCACAGAAAATGCGAGAGTCAAAAGAGACATCTACACGAGTCGGCGACGAGGTAAAACGCAGCACGTCTAAAACAATGCTGGTTTTTCTTTTATTATACGGCATCACTTTGCGCAGGGCTGAACGACGCTTCAGGTCCGGCGAAGGCGTGCGCAGCGTCACGTGTCGGTGGGTGGTGATTGACAGCCTGTTTCGCCGTTCACGAAACCTGCGAGTGTAGATTACAGTACAAATTGCAACCATATTTAAAGGGACTATTTTTTCAAAAGACGTGACAGAGTTACATAACCGGCTCACAGCCTCGCCGGCTGAACACAACGCGCTCTATGTAATGTGGACTGTAGCTGATGGAGAGGGCTGTCACCTATGGTTATATCATATTTAGTATATTTATAGCACATTTAAGAACACATAAAATTGTGGTCCCTAAATCAGATGCCTTAATAAAATCCTCACTGGACACTTGAGAACATCTTGCTATTAGTGAATATGAGCCATCTACTCTAATTCTTCCTGGCACAGATTCAAAAAAGTGTCAAAACAATAAGTAGAGATTTTGCTTCATATTGACCAGAGAGCATCACAGAGTTGCTGCACACCCATGATGCAACACTCCTCATCTCAAAGTTGCATTATTGGACTGAAAGCAGTGACTGTGGAGGCTATCTGGCTATCTGAGCACTGACTCACTGTTATGTTCAAGAAACCAGTTTGAGATGATTAAAGGGTAGTTACGGATGTACATAGTCAGCAACAATGCTCTGGTTGGCTGTGGTGTTTAAAGAATATTCAGTTGGTGTTAAGAGGGCAAAGTTTGTCAAGGAAATATCCCTCACACCGTTACATCACTGGAAGCATTCTGAACTGTTGAGACGAGGCAGGATGGATGCATGCTTTAGTGTTGTTTATGCCAGGTTCTGACCCTACCATCGACTGTTTTCAGTCTACAGTTGTCCAATTTTGGTGAGCCTGTGTGAATTTCAGCCTCAGTTTCCTCATCTTAGCTACAGGAGAGAAACCGGCTGTGGTCTTATAAGCTTTGTTACTGGAAGTATTCACTCACTTAGCCAAATCACTGAATTCCGGTGTCCCTATCACTTTTGTGGCGACAGGGGTATAAAATGGCAGGTCATGGGTAATAGCTGTCAGTAATACAAATTTAAAACCAAGAATATCCAAAAGTAGATTCTGGTCATCTGGATGTAGCGTTTTCAGTGGGAGAAACGTTTCGTCACTCATCCAAGTGAGTTCTTCAGTCTCAGCTGACTGCAGGTCAGCTTGAAAAGTGAATTTGTCACTGTTAAATTCATCTTTCATCTTTCCCGCAGTGTATTAGTGCATTAATTCATGTGTTTTCTCTTTATCTTTCCAGGCATGCCGCTGTGGTGATTTCCGGAACAGAGTTAGCTCGTCAGCTCCACAGAGAAATCCAGCGTGATGTGGAAGAGCTGGTAGCTCAGGGCAACATGAGACCACACCTAGGTGTGGTCTTAGTGGGTGACGACCCAGCCAGTCACACCTACGTTAAGAACAAGACCCGCGCAGCCAGCATCCTGGGTCAGATATGAGCAGCACATGCATTCTTAAACGTGTATTCATAAAGTATTTCATGCATATCTAAAAACAATAAATATAACTAAAGTAGCACATATTTTATGCATACACAGATACATATGTTCAGACGCACTTGCTTAAGCAAAAGTAACATACATTTAAAATAATCAAAAATAAAACAATGTGTATTTAAAATAATCATGCAAAAGTACACAACTACATCTTCATGGTTTAGGTATATGTGTTTATGTGTTCTCCAGGTATTTCCAGTGATACAGTGGTGCGGCCCAGCACAGTGTCTCAAGAGGAGCTGCTGGAGCTGATTGACAAGATGAACCGTGACTGGAGGGTCAGTGGCTTATTGGTGCAGCTCCCACTTCCAGGTGAACAAAGGCACCACTGCTCCAGAGGTGTCCTCCATGACATCATGTTAACTGGTCTTTACAGTTGTGGTGATTCTGCTTCCATAGTCGATGGATATTGTGTGCATAAAATTTTATACGTACAGAATTTGTATTGGAGTGATTTCTGGTGACTGTGGGGCCCACATGACTGCAGTGAACTCATTATCATTTTTAAGAAACCAGTTTGAGATTATTTGAACTTTGTGACGTGACACGTAATCCTGCTGGAAGCAGCAATCAGAAGAGGGGTACACTGTAGTCATAAAGGGATGGTCAGACTCCTCAGGTAGGCTATATAGTGTTTAAACAATGCTCTGCTGATACTAAGGGGCTCATGTCGAGTTCTGACCTTATCATCTGAATGCTGAACAGAGTCACTTGTGAGTCTATTATGTTTCAGTTCTTTGTACAGTTCTTCACATGATATACAGTACCTGAGCTTATGTTCTGCTCCCTCTGATTTTAGAGCACATAAATGAGAGAGCAGTATGCAACGCCATCGCTCCAGAGAAGGATGTGGATGGCTTCCATATTGTGAACATCGGTAAGCTGTGCCTGGACCAAAGATCCATGGTGCCAGCCACTCCTGCAGCTGTCTGGGAGATCATCAAAAGAGCAGGTATGCCTCCCAGTATTCTCCAAAGCATTTACTCAACTTAATATCTATAAATGTTTGTCATGGGTATTTTTTAGCCTTGCCATTCGCTCTGTTTTTTGAACCTACGATGGCATGATCCCTAAATTTGAACTGAATGTTCAATTCCAAAGAATGTAAAGTTAACTCTAGAAGCAATAACAGAAGTAGGTATTATATGTCCATTTCTATGCATCTCAGATCCACTAGGTGGCGCCTAATATCCTTTCTTCCATCTAAATCTAAATTTCATCTGTTCTTTGACTTTCATTAGTTTTAACATGAAATAAAAGTATAATGTTTCAGTTTTCTGAAAAAGTGTGAAAGTTATTTGAAGTAATGTGTGTAAAACTTTATATTTAACAGATGTTGTTATTAAAACATTATTTGAATAAAATAGTAGGACGTTAGTTCTTAAAATAAAACTATTCTTACTGGGATGTGAGAACAGTGTCTAGAATGGCAAGAAACCCCTTGGTTATCATACCAAAGGAGTGGGGGATTGAGGTGCGGCTAAGCCTTGGCTGCCTTTGAGGTTAGTTCAGTTGTCGTAGGAATGCTTAAGGGTTTTATATCATCATGAAATCAGCTTATCGGCTGTGACAGAGCTTTTGGAATCCTCCATCCCACATAGTGCTGAAGCAGATATCTCTTTATAGATTACATTGAGAGCTGAAGGATGAAGGGTTTGGCGTAACTCACTTGTCTGTCTGAATGACTGGAATGTTTCAAACTCTAAGTTATGGAAATACACAATTCTGATGAACTTGAACACTATACACTATGTGTATATAATTATTTGAGCTTGGTTTTGGTTTCAAAGGTGAAAATGGTCCGAGAGAAGTGTGACTGAATTCTTTAAGCCTTGTAACAAACCTTTCTGCTGGCTCTATCGACCTAGCTAAGACAATGCAAGTGAAAACAGATGCAAGTTTTTAATAATTACTGTATTCATAGAAGCTAAAATATTATCCAGTACCCCAAATCACCGGTTTAAAAAGTAATGGCTCCTGTTAAATAGTTATCCATAGAGTCATAAAAAAATAAGGTTTTCACAGGACTCTATGCTGTCATTAAATGTGGCATTGTGCATTTGCCATTATTCCAGAAATCTTGTGGTTTGTTGACAAGTAAGAGGCTTTCTCTTGATAAACATTCCAGACAAGCCAGGTATGTTCACTCTTTTGTTAACTGAAAGGTCATGAACTTTAACATTTAACACAGTAACTAAAGTCTGTAGAGCTTGAAATGCAGGTCTTGAGTTTTTACAGTTTCTCTGAGCACTGCATGGTCTGACTATGGGGTGAATTTACTGGGATATCCACTCCTGTGAATAATGTGGTACTATACACCTCAATTCTGCTTTTATAGAGGTCATCGCACTTGTTGATGAAGTGCATTTGATTAGGTACCTGTTTGCTATTTACCTTCTTAATTCCTATTAAACCAGTGGGGATGCATTTAGTTTATCACAGGACTGCATAGAGTCCTTCAGAAACAAGTCATACAATATCAGAGATGTAAAGCTTGAGTTTTTATATTCTTCTGAAAGGTTTTAGGGATTTCAAGATACATTATCGCAAAATTTGGAGAAGCCTTGAGGTTCCTCTGGAGTTAGTAGTGTTTTTACTTGCCAGCCTTCTGTGCACGTCATTTATGCCCAGTATCTGTTGGATTGTGGAGTTACCGAAAGAGATACTAGATGACACAAAGACCAAGGAAGGAAGGAAGGAAGGAAAAAATCCCATGAATCTTTTTCTTGTAACTTTTTTGACATCATAGGATGATTCATTGTTGTACTCTTTGGGATATTTTGAAACTCTGGAAGGATTTCAAACTTTATAGACTTATCTGGCTTAATATTCTTCTTCCTTATCACTTCTGAAATTTCTGGTCGTTACCACATATTGTGCTGCTGGTAATTCCTTTTAGGCAACTTCATACTTCTGAAAATTGTTTATATGCCATGGTTTCAGGCCTGGGTGTGTCCAGTCCAGCTGCAGCCCGTTATCAGCTTTTTTTTTGACTACAAGGGCAAAAATCTTTTTTTCTCACATATACTTTGTAATTTTAAACACTCTTTCCGCTTCGATACTTAGATTTGTTATTTCAAACTATCACTACACAACAAGCATGCTCAGGTTGACTTTTTAAAAATTGGACAGAATTTGGTATGACATAAAAAACAAATAGAAAACAAGAAGGGTTTAGATCAGGTTTAGCAGCATAATTGGTATTTAATACAAATTTCATCAGCAAATTGTGATATTGGCCTAATTGATGACACCTATGTTAACTTCTTAATAGTTTTTGCTTGACAATTTAGCTTCAGGGAGAGTCAGTTTCTCTCTACTTGAGCAGTACAGTGAATCTAGCATATTTTATCATTTCTCTGTCCAGGTATTGAGACTGTGGGGAAGAATGTCCTTGTTGCTGGTCGCTCCAAAAATGTTGGAATGCCCATTGCAATGTTGCTGCATACTGATCGCCATCATGAGCGTCCTGGAGGTAAGAAAATGCATTTGGATGTCTGTGTGGCTTATCTGCAATCTGAGTCAGCATTGTAATAAGATTGGCGTGCTGCTCTTTGTAGGATTGGTGTTTCACCATTGTGGCTTTCCCTGAAGGATGTTTGATGTTTGAGCTTTTGCCAGGATGTGAGCAATAAATTAAAGCTTTATTGTTTCCTCACCTTTTTAATCAAACAAAAAACTGCTGATGAATGTCCTGCTGAGGAACAAAGAAAAAAATCTGGGAGTGTGAAGGAAAATCACAGGGTGAGACTTTTGGCACTGGAAGACAGATCAGCCCCTTATAAGGGTGCAGGAAGAAGGGATTGGATTTGGAAAGGTATTGCATGTTCAGATGAAGCAACAAGATGTGCTTAACATTTCAAAGTACAGTGTTATTGCAGGTCAGAACAACGCAAATGGGAACATAACTCACTCAAAGCTGCATACCAAAGAAAAATTAGGAGATCAAAACACTGCAGTTGTCCCTAAAGTCATCGCTAAAAGGATAAAACGTTCTTTATTCATCCACATCAAATTAGGTCAGGGGACTGAAATATGCTATACAATTTCTGAAAGTAAATGATTGAGACCCAGTCCATGTCCTTCCAAACTATGTCGTGTGTACATATTGCAAATTGAGAACCATTTTTAAGTTTTTGAAATCAGGCTATTTTGAAATTTGAGTCTTTTAAAAGCCCTTAATGGCTACTACTGACCTTGTAGCTGAAATTGGTTGCACTGTTAAAACATATGAGTTGTAATGAGTTGCTTGGAAACATCTATGCCAGGGTTTTAGTAATGCAGTATGCAAAAACAAACTTAAAGGCAGGTATTATCTTTTGAAACTGTACATATTTGTTTAACTTTACCTTTTACCTTTAGAATCACTTGGAACTGCACCAATGCTATTTGTTTATTTAGTTAAACATAAGCATAATCCTAATTAATTTCAGGTATGTTGTGCCATCCTTATGTAAAAAATCTTTTAGTTTTACATTATATTATTATTGTAAAGCCCATAACAGAAAACTGTATTGTTTATTCTATTGGTAGCTGCGCCATCTATTACCAAGTTTTGTCAGTTTATTAATCATCAGTGATTCCTGGATGATGGATGGTATAAATAGTTAATGAGAACTTATAATCTGTAAGAACTTGTTCTTACAGATACTTGGCAATCTTTAAGATTGAACTTATGAACTGGTGCAGCCAGTTCCAGGTCTTCTGAGCCTTACACCCAGATCAAGATTAACACATATTTGTGAGGCACGTGACATGGACAGAAGAAATAGAAAGTTCTTGATCATAAGACGATATTAAGGAGAGGAGAGGAGAAGAGAGCAAATATCAATGTATCAATAACTATTCATATGTCATAAACTCCAGCTTCCTCCCATGGTTCAAAGACAATTGGTCAGTGGGGTTTGGTTAACTGGTGAATCTAAATTGCTCATAGGTGTGAATGTGAACGGTTGTCTGTCTCTATGAGTTACGCTTGTGTTTCTGTTTGTCAATCCGATCAATGAGTCTGGGTTTTGCGGTTGCGAGGAGAACGGTACTTGTCTGACTGCTTTGTGGTGTGGGATTGTTTTTCAGGAGTTGGGCTTGGCCACTTAGTTTCAGTGAAACGCTTTATCATTTTGTGGGAACAGTTTGCGGATGGCTCTTTCCTGTTCCAGCATAACTGCGCACCAGTGCACAAATCAAGGCCCAGAAAGACATAGATGAGCGAGTTCGATGTGGAAGAACTTGAATGGCCTTCAGAAAGTCCAGACCTCAACCTGATAGAAAACCTTTGGGCTGAATTAGAGCAGAGACCCCAAAGTTGTCCTTCAAAATCAGTGTCTAGAAGCATAAATGTGCAAAAATGTACATGCACATACATTCAGGTAACGTCAGGAATTTATAAATCATTTCAAAGAGTCAAAAAGAAGCATGGAGAGGCTCAGAATCTAAGGTATTTGAGTTCCATTGGAACGTTTGCACAGTGTGGGATGACTTGAGTTTCCCTGTCTTACCTGAAACACAAAGAATCTTTTAAAGCATTGTCACAAGGAGGAAGAGACACATCCGGCGCAAAAAGAAACTGATAGATACCACACGGATGCCTTAAGTTGTGGGAAAACACTCCCAACCAAATATTGAGTGCATAAATGTACAGATTTTTCAAAGGTTGGACATTTTTGTATTGAAAATGTTTTTTTAATGATCTTATTTTAATGTTCTAACTATTCTGATAATGCCAGATACTGGATTTCTGATGTTGAAGAGCTATAAGCCATAGTCAATAAAATTGTAACAAAAAAAGATTCATATATTTCACTTTCGAAGTAATGAATATCTGATAAATGAAAAAATAATAATAATTTCTGAATCAAATTACAAGACTTCAAAAAGACTAAATCTGGTCAATGATCTACCAGAACTTTTTCTGTAACTTTAAAAATGTATTTCTTACAATTTAAGTCAGATTTCTTTCAGCAGCTTTTTGTTTACCATGTAGAAATACAGTTAAATATGTAATTTCTTTACACTGTCAGAAAGGGGAGTTTCACTGGCCCGAAACACTGAAGATCAAAGTCGGCTATACGTGGCCCGCGATGTAAAATGAGTTTTACGCTCCTCTTGTACTTGTTATTTCAGGTGTATGCATTTTATCAGAACGTGACACTAAGGTGGACTACCTAGTTCTTGAAAACTAAGTTTGCAAAGAATGGCAACTGAATGTGTGCTTTGTAACTGGATATTAAACTGCAAATATACAATAAGGCTAAAAACAAACTTTCCTATTTTAAAAATCTTCAGTCCCCAGTAAGTGTTTTTTTTTTATAATTCCAAAGGGAAGTTGAATAACCACATTGTTCATAGGTTTATTTCCCACAACACGAGTTGTACAGCTTCACACACATTTCTTCTGGTATGCGATATGCAGGTTTGCTGTGCTGTGACTTGCCTTTTCTTCCCTCTCGTTCTTATCTTCGCAGAATACCTCCGTGGATTACAGCAACAATACTGGTCCTAATACAGTTATGACTTTGCAAGTTGCTCTGACACACCTAAATGGAGATTAAAGTTACTATCACGCATGCTGCATTTCCTCATTGTGTAATGTCTGACTTAGGGTGTCCTTTCCCCACCACTGTCTCATTTTTTTTGTAAAGCTGTAAGAGAACAACAGGTCTCACAGTAATGAAGCAGAAAGAAGAGAATATTTACACTTTAAATGTATAAAAACACTGCTTAGCAGAATCAATATTCTTCATTCCCACAGGAGAACCTTAATTGAATGAATTAATTGAAGGTTAGGTTTTGGCCACATTAACTGTTTGCTGATTATTAACATTAGCACTAATACCCCCCAAAATGCACCACCTGTCAGTACCTGAAGAATGATAGACTAGGTAATAACTTGAAATATTCATATTGAGTAAAAGAAATCTTGCTTCTGGCACTTTGAGCATGTAGAGACACCAGCTTTAGAACAGTTTAAAGGAATGTCATTGACAGGATAACCTTCACTATCAGCATTTTTAGAAGTATTGAAAGATGTCCTTTCATGGTTAATTTGCCATGTTTTGGCTAAGTAAGTTTTTATACATATTTTTAAAACCCTGATGTGGCATTTTATTCATATACATTGAATGTAGGAGGTGATGTAGGTGATAGATATCTCCGAGACCAAGAAGTGTAAACCAAGAAGTGGTGGATTAACCACAACATGTCCTTTTTCCTCTTAGGTGATGCCACAGTGACCATTACCCACAGATGTACTCCAAAGGAAAGGCTCAAAGAGCTAACCCGCCTGGCTGACATCATTATTGCAGCAGCAGGTAAACGTATCAGGACCACAGTAAAACATATCTGTCAGTTTTTTCCACAACTAAAGAACTACCGAAGTGACATATGTCATACCCAACAAAACGTCTTTCAAATGAATGGAGTGACACATGCAAACTAGTTCAGGCAGGCGGTTTGGGTTGTCCTGCATCTTGCATTCATGACAACCCTCACTTTCGTCACGTAATTCGTCGCCATTTACTTCAATCAATTTAAGCTGAAAAATTTCCAGTGTTACCCTGTGTTGTGTCACTGACACTGCTGCCATGCATCACTGGCTGTTATTTCATCACCAGCGTCTAGCTGTAGGCTCCAATGTAATGTTTATGAGCTGCTGCTGTAATAAATCAACAGTTTCTGGTGTCAGTTGTCATACTAACTGTATTAAGTATTGCAAAACGATTCATAGGATTTAACATCACATCAACTGGCTGTACGCTTACAACCAACCATCACTGTCATAATTTGCTAATCTGCCAAGGCATTTCTCAGTCAGTGTTTTGGTTGAATAATGTCACTGTTTTTGAAAAATTGACATCAGTGATGTCATTTTTGTCCAAACAAGAGTCAAAACTAGGAACTTGGGATCACCTGATTTTCCTCAAACAATTAGTACATTTTCACTCATTATTCAAGTTGTGCTATTCGTTATTTTGCCCACTAAAAAATGTTCAGCGTGTACTGCAAAGAAATGTATCTACAGTCATGTGAAAATTAAAGATTTATAGGATTTGCAATCCTGTGAGAAACTAAGTACGCCCATAGTGCTTCCACAGGAATTAGTACTAATCACTTGCTCATCATCAAGTGTGATCAGCTCTGTAAAAGCAGAATTGATGGGTGTAATAACAGTGCCGCAATTGTCACAGGAGTCCATGTCCCAGTAAATTCACCCCAAGTTCAGACCATGCACAAAAGAAACTGCAAAACACTACAGAGCTACACCTCAGACTCTGCAGGTCTCAGTTAGCATGTCAAATGTCATTGTTGTACAATTAGAAAAAGACTGAACAAGCATGGTTTGTTTGGAAGGGTTGCCAGTAGGAAGGCTCTTCTCCCTGAAATGAACATGGCTGCACAGCTTAGGTTTGCAAATCTGAATCTGAACAAACCAAAAGGTTTCTGGAACAATGTCCTTTGGACAGATGAGACTAAACTGGAGATGTTTGGACATAATCCACAGCAGAAAATTTAAAGAAAACCTAATTAGCACAACACCTCATATCAGGTAGAAGTCTGATGATTTTGGTTTGTTTTGCAGCAAAATGACCTGGGCACATTATAGTCCTTGAGATGACCGTGAACTTTCTATACCAAAGTATTCTAGGGTGTATGAAACCATCTGGCTGACCGCTAAAGCTTTGCCCAAACTGGGTATTACAATAAGACAGTGATCCCAAGCACAGCAGCATATCTACAACTGACTGAAAATGAAAATAATCAAGGTGTTGTGTGTGAATGGTAGTTAGAAAGCACTTCAAAGCATAGAAGACATTGCCTTTATGAATGGGTGAATGTGGCTTGTCGTAAAGAGTGCTTTGAGTAATCAGGGAGAGTAGAAAAGTGCTATATAAGAATCAGTCCATTTATCAACTAAAGCAATGTTGTACATAAGAGTGGGACAAAATTCTGACACAACAATGTGAGAGACTGAGAGTCATTCAGAAATAATGACTTCAAGTTACTGCTACTGATTGTAGTTCTACGAGCTACTGAATCATGAGGTGTACTCACAGAACTGCAGAGAGTTCTATGAAAACTTTCCTTTTCACATACAGCTTTTACTTACTTACCTAATCTGTAATAGGCTACTTGTTTGTATGCAGTCATTATTATACTGAACTAGGGTATCATTTGTTTTTGCTTTAGAGAAACTGGATTAACCCATTTTAAAAGAAGAGTTTAAAATATATTGAGAGCAAACATCCATATTTTGTGAATTTTCTTGCTAACCCTAGTTTTTTGGATAGAAAACCCTACATTAAGAAAAGCAGTGCCAGTTATATGGCATTACTAAAGAGGTTCTACCCTCCAGTGTGCATTCCTTTCCGTCAGTTTCAGATTACTTTTCCTGTGTTGGAACAGGTGTACGTGGATTTATGTTGGCTGATTATGCAAAAAGGAGGAGATGTTGTGAAAAGTGCTCACCAGCCCTTACTTGAAGCGAGCTTCTTGGAATCAAAATAATAAAAGGCGACATTTCCGCCTGTTACTCTACCCCATCTGTAGGCATTGATTAAAACTTTCTGGAAGAACAGTAGTGCTTTGTTTGTTTTTTGCGTGCTGGAACGTGCAGCCATTAATCAATACAGGGCTGTAATATTAGATGAAAGATTCTTTATTAACGCAATGCAGCGATGGGTGCCATGTCTTACTCTGTTTGTCATAAATGGGCTTTTTCCTGATGAGTCACACCTCAATTTCTTTTCATGCTGCAAATGCTTGGTTTTGATTTTGAAGTACTAACTGCATGTACATCATCTCTTTCAGCTGTCTTTGTGTCTTTTGGGAAACGGCACGTGTTTTGGTTGTGTTAAAAGCAAAACGTATGCTGAGGGATTAACTGGTTGTGTAATCTGTAGTAATTGCAGTTAATAGGCTTGGCATTTAGTTTTGTTATACCCTGTCATGGAAGTTTTATGCTGGCTTTATATGAGCAGTTCTAGTTTAGCTAGACAAACCTGTTATTTAATTATTTAATTATCCAACTGAATTTGGGGCCCATTATTAATTAACAATAATAAATGTGTGAGGAGATCAAATTGATTGTTATCAAATATGATGTGATGATTATTTGAATATTTGTGTTTTAATTCAGTTTTAATGTCCATGGTCCACCCGACAAAAGAACAATCAACTGTGATTCCAAAGATTTTTTTTAGATTTCATGAATAATTGATCTGTTATTAAATTCAGTACTTCCCCTAACACAAGAATAAGATTTAAAAAAACATTTTAAAGCATTTAAAGAAAACGTTTCAAAGTAGTTCTCGTTTGTCACCATAACCTTGGTTTCTTTACGTAGGTGTTCCTGAGCTGATCACAGCAGATATGGTGAAAGAAGGTGCAGCAGTCATTGATGTGGGTATAAATCGCATCAAGGATCCAAACACAGGAAAACTTCGGCTCATTGGTGATGTGGACTTTGAGGGTAAATGAAAAAGAAGTTAACTGTGTCACAGTTTCTTCTATACTGCTGACATTCTGAAAACAATGTATACCTGTCTGTCGACTTTATTCTTCTTGGGAAACTGTCTCCAAGTCAATTGTTGTGGCATGTTGTAGGAGTGAAGGAGAGAGCAGGTTTCATCACACCTGTCCCCGGAGGGGTGGGTCCAATGACGGTCGCCATGCTGATGAAGAACACTGTGACTGCTGCCAGAAACGCACTGATGCATTAGACACACACACACACACACCTACACCTAGACACACACACGCGTGCACACACAGTATAAAGATATTTATTTTAACAAGGGCAGACATCATGCAGACATGCAGATATAGATGCATACATTTATATAGGCACCCGCACAGGCAGACCTCCTGCCAAACATCTAACACAGTTTTATTTGAACATCTGTGAACTCAAGACTCAATACCTGCTGGGAAATCTACTTGATATGTATTGCGTTTATAATATTTATTTATTCATTTATTTATTAAGTTATTTATTTCAGCTTTCACTTTTTAAGAATTTATATTAATATTTTTTCTACTGATGTAAGTTTGGTTCATTTTGAGCATAATGAAATAAAAACATTTCAGTTCCAAAGTTTTTTTCTATTTAGTTTTTTCATGATTTCCAAAAGTATTTTGTTGTGTGTTTGTTCTGCTTTTGAGTGTAGTGAGACAGTAAAGCTCAACCATGATTACGGGTTATGCATCTTAAACATTAGGCTGCTGATTCCTGATCTAACAGACAGCTTTTCATTTCCTTATCGCATCCTCTGCAATGCCTCAAATCCAAAAATAGGGAAGTTCTGAAAAATGAATGTAACCAGTGAAAAGATTCCCCAAAGACATTTCATCTTTTGATCATCATAATAATTAGATAATTAATCTATAGATTTCTGTATGGCTATCCATTTTCCTAATGATGGCACTGCTCCACTGTCTTAAGGCTAGAGGCAGGCCATCTTGGACTACTTGTCAGTTTTGCCCCCTTCCTGATTTCTCAGTTTTTTTTCTCTCCATATTTGTCACACTTACATGTATCAGATGTTAACACGAATTTTAATAATAGTCAAAGATAACTCATGTAAATAAAAATTACATTTTAAAATGATAACTTAATTTATTAAATAAGAAAAAAGCTATTTAAAGCTACCCGGCCCTGTGTAAACACATCTTCAGCTAATTCTGGACTCTATGGCGGATAATTTATATTTGAAAATGATATCTCATGCTCCCTGAGTCACTCTTATAATTTGAGCTAGATGAAGCAGCATTGCCATCTAGAAATGTGCCTGTACTATAAAAGAAGAAAAGAAAATCTACTGATGGAAAAGCCTGGTGATTGAGTATGTTCAGGCAGCCGCCTGACCTCAATATTTGGGAACGTAATATAGGTAGCTGTGGGACAGTAAAATATAATGGTGGCTCCACACCAGTTTGCAATGCAATCCCCAAAGGATTTGTGTTTTCTCCCAAAAATGAAGCGGTTGTTCGGTTGTCAGGTGAAAGTGTAAACCATATCACTTTGGAGCCACCTCCTTAAGGTGATAGTGAAAAACAAAAAGCAAAAAAACAAACAAAAACAGTAAACACATAATTGAAGAGTTCATCTAGAAATGCTTGGCCCCCTATCAAATTTTTTGATAAAACTTTTAATTAATCTAATTCTAATGTGCTGTAACCTGTCTCTATCTAATTCTCTCTTCACGTGTTAAGAGGCCAAAGAAAAATAAAGCTTCCATTGTGATCACGCTGATGAAAAAAGAGAGGATTTCCCAACATCCGCTGTCAGTGAAGCAACTTTACTGGACTGTGAAACTGATTGAAAGTCACCCAGCCAGTGTTCTTCAGAAGCACTTGCCTCTGGGGATCTCGTGCCTCCCCCATAGGCTTTGTCTCTGCATGCCTATGAAGTAAATGACTTGATTCAAGTCGAGTATCAAAAGGAAATACTTTTCATTTTTCAAAAGAAAAAAAGCCTTCAGTGTTTTGATTGGCTGTGAAAATCTGGATAAATAAGCTCAGCGCAGACCTGTTGGTCACACCTGTGCAGGCAGAAGGAGCTGAACACATCACATCACCAAAGGACAACATGGTCACACAAAGACAGACGTACCTGGAGAAACGTAAGTTTCCAGTTTGTTCTGTGATAGAGCCATGAAGCAAGAAAAAAAAAA